CATAGCGAACATGTCTGTTCAGAAGAAAATACTGGTCTCCCAGACTTGCAATGGAGGACAACAATTAAGAGAATATTAAAAAATATATTTATGTGTGTTCCAAAAATTAGCAGAATTTGTATGGGTTTTGGAACAACACGGGGGAGAATAAATTATGACCATTTTCATTTTTTGGTGAACTAACCCTTTAAAGAGCAGCCCTCCACATTCATGAAAATTTGTGAGGTATGTGAATGTCATGTCTGTTTTAATACTTCAGTAAAAAAAAAAGTAGCTTTCTGAAAGCAATATATTTATTTAAACAATTTTAAATACCCTCACACTGGTGCTACCATTATAGCATTCTAGAGCGCTGTGGTAGACAGAGACATTAAACAACCACAGAAAGTGGTTGAAATTATAAAACAGACTAGTTACCTTACAGATGTAGATGTACCTCTATTTGAAAATGGATAGATTTTAATTAAATGTTTTCTTTTTCAAATGTTTTTCTCTTTTAGATGTTAAATGCTTGTTCTGTGTTGTTGTTTAGTAGAAATGGAGTTTACACTCTGTCATTCATACACATGCTCACATTCTTTCACACATATGTTTCTGATAAATGTTATAATATCAGTGTTAATGTTGTGGTTTATTTACTGTCATGCCAGAATAGTTTGTAAAGAACTTAACTATTAACTAATTGTACAACTATTGTATAATAGTGTTTTTGTATAATATTTTTATACAATATATAAAATCTACCCAAAAAGTTAAATTTGATCTTAAAAGATATATTCAACAAATGTTTAATTTTTCATTTATAAACTCTGTATCTGTTACTGCCATACTTTTCTGCATTTGTTCTTACATCTTGCATGTTACACTCTAAAAAATGCTGGGTTAAAAAGGGACAAACTATATTAGGGCTGTCAGTCGATTAAAATTTTTAATCTAATTAATTGCATGATGTGTCAATTAATTAATGTAATTAATCACAAATTACATTTGGATGTGAAAAATACACCGAAAAGATTATTTAATGCTATTTTTGTGTTAAATGAGAAAGTATAAAGTAGACATTATAAATAGTAGCTTTAGATAGCAATATTTTATTTGATTCAGCATAAACTATGAAACATAAAAGAAGATAATTTGAGTAACATCTCTGTTTTTTTTTTTCGTTCATGCAGTGGAAGTCATTGGTAACCAAAACAGCTTTGTTACCAACAGTCTTCAAAATACCTTTTTTATGTTCCGTAAAAGAAAGTAAGTCATTCAGGTTTGAGTAAATGATGACATAATTAAAGATTTTTGGGTGAACTCTTCCTTTAAAGTCCCCCTCCCCCATTTTTTCCTTTTTTTTATGAAATAATACTCTAAATAAGAAACTAAAACTGCCAGCAGGTGGCGGTAAATGTCTTTATGAGTCTTTCATTCGATTAATTCAAAACGGCTGATTCATTCAGGAATTCAGTGAACGGCTCTCTCTTTGAATGGGCTTTGAATCATTGGTTCACACGATTCGTTCAAAACGCAGATTCATTTAGAAACTAAACACCGCTGTGCTGCTCACAGATGCGCAACAGTTCTGCTGTGGCTTTATAGGTAATATTTTTGTTGGCAAAACTGAGCAAAAACAAAATATAATAAAGAACGCAACACAATATTACCTTCTTATTTACTGAACCGTTGTGTAAAAATCACATTTGCACTCATGCTATTCGGGACAAACAGCACTCGTGTGATATTGCGTTCGCTGATATCACTTATCATGTGATATAAATACGAGACAAAAACTCATACATGGGCATTTTTGCCCCATATCTTGAATACCTGCATTTATGGAGTTGTTACCCTGCATCATATTTGTCAACAGTCAACTGTATGAAATGTAACCAATATTGAAAACAGTTGTGGTGCTTCATATTTTTGTGAAAACTGTGATCATGTTTTCAGGATTCCACAGAAAGTTCAAAAGAACTGATTTTATTAAAAATAATAATCTTTTACAACATTATAAATGTCTTTACTGTCACTTTTTATGACTTTAATTCTAATGCATCCTTGCTGAATTAAAAAAATAAACTAACTAACTAACTAACTAACTAACTGACATGAAGCTCAAAACTGGTAATTTCTTGACCTCTTGCAACACCAAACCAGGGTTATTATCATTAATTAAACATTTTTGTTAATTGGAATAAAGCCTAAATAAAAAAAAAATTAGATGAAAAACATAAACTTGTTTCAGGTAGTTGCCAGGGTAACATTTCTAATTTTCATTTTGTCTGATGAATCACTAAAATGACTAACTACTAGAAGTAGTCTGGGGGTCTAAAAACTGAAGACGCAGTTAACAGTGCGAGTTAACAGTGCGAGCCAGTGCGTTAACTGCGCTAAAATATTTTAATCGCGTTATTTTTCATAATTAATTAAGTTAACGCGTTAAACTGACAGCCCTAATATATATGTAAAATTATTGCAATGTAAAAGTATATTTTAAAACTTTAATGTTAGGTGGGATTGATTGCGATATATATATATATATATATATATATATATATATATATACATATAACACTCCCCCGTCACCATTGGCCTTGATACAGGGAGTCCCTCCCCAAAAGCACACCATTGGTAGAGCCATAATATTTGCATAAAGTTATGTTCTACTAAACTTTATTGCATAACAAATGGTCTCTGTTGCTCAACTCTCATTAAAAATCGTTGACTCCTGATGACTTTTTACTACCAAAAAGCTATCAGTGTGACTGTCCTTTCTTACTTTGTCCTTACTTCCTCACCTTTATGCCATTATCATTTTACTTCTATATAACACAAAATTATTTCAGGCATCCTGATACAAGGATTTACAGCTCTCAGTCTGTGTATGGCAGTGGCTTCTCGCATATGATGCTCGAGGGCTCTTTTATTGTTCCAGCTAGTGTCCTCAAAATTACTCCGAAGCCCCAGAGGAGCGTAGGAGTGCCGCTCAATGACTAAGATCCAGCAGCAAATCTGCTTAACGCGAGAGGCAAGTCTCAGCGTTCTTCCACATCAAAGGCTCGCAAGAACTGCCCCCAGACGATTCAAATCTGACCTTTAAATTTAAACGGTGGAGAGGACTTTAAAATTGGCAGCTCTTCAGACACACACAGAAAATAACACATACAGACCTTTACCACAGGCCAATAGTGCGGCTGGCCCAAGAGCTTGGTGATGGCGGAGATGCCGTAGTGCAGACGCACTGCATTCTGGGCCAGCTCTGCGTCGGGGTGGCGGCTCGTGAGGTGACGCAGGGCACAGACGGCCGGCTCGGCCACGTCCTCCTTCTCTCCGGCCCGCAGCACGGCGTGAATGAGGGCCTCCACCCCGCCGCTCTGGGTGACCAGGGCCTTGTTGCGTGCGTTGTTGCAGGTGAGGTTTGACAGGATGCCAGTAGCGCAGGTCAGCATGTTCACATCATCTGAGCCCAGCTGACTCACTAAGATCTGCAGGAGACCGTCCAGACCTTCCTGTGTGGAGATAAAATAAGAAGGGGTCAGTTTTTTTTTTCTTTTGTATTTTCCATTTGTATTTTTGTTATTTTTTTTGTAATATTTTCTGTTTTTGAATTTTTTTTATTAGTTATTTATATATTAATAAATTAGTAAGTTTTGTATATTAATATTAGTATTTGTATATTATTATTAAGTTTGGTATATTATTGTATTATCCATTTTCATTAATTATATATATACACTCTCAGAAAGAAAGGCCTTTAATGCACGTTTTGAACGAATTGGGTGAATTATTAGGCGCGTTGAACCTTTGGCCATAGGCGCGTTGGATTTGAAGCGGCGCTGCACAGACCGATCGGTGTATGGCATCAAAGTACCGCGAGAGCGATTCAAAAGCGTAAGGAGCCATCTGCTCTCTATAGCTCTTGCTGTACTTTGATGTAGAGACCTGCGCAGGATGGATTTTTCAGTCCCGCTTCCACAAGATTCTGTCTCACGCCCACCCGCTCCCGCAGAAAAATATCTTACCTGGTCCCGCTCCCGCCCACAAAAGCCTGCATAAAATAATCTATATAGATTTTTTTTTCAGCACATCAAAGGAATTTACATTAAATGATTCTGTAACATCTCCTAAGATCCACAACATCCCAGCAAAAAATGCTCCCGATAAATTATTTGTTATTTAGGCTAAGCATCAACATTCACAAACCACTGTTATTTTTAACAGCAAAGCAAGCATGGGCTTGGCATGGCAGAATGTGAGCAGTGCTTCCTTTATTATCACTAAAAGCTGACATCTCAGTTTCGAATCAAGTGAATGAATAAATTACTCGTTGACTTAATCTTTAAGACATTTACCACCACCTACTGGCAGTTTTAGTTTATTATTTAGAGTATAATTTCATTAAAAAAATAATTTCATATTTCCATAGTAATAATAATAAAAATGTATTAAATAAATTATTAAAGGTATAGTTCACCCACCCAAAAATGACAATTGTGTCATCATTTACTCACCCTCATGGTCCAAAAGAGTATATGTAATACATTTTATCAAACAAAATATTTCTTGCTGAAGCTACTTTTTGTAATGTCTGTTTGATGCTTTACACAACACTTGGGGGGACTTGAGGGACTTTAAATGATCTTTTGGGAGTAATTTCTCAGCCAAATCTGATGTGCGATTAATTTGCGATTAATTAGATTAATTAATCGTCACATCATGTAATTAATTAGACTAAAAATATTAATCACTTACCAGCCCTAATATATTTATACACACACACACACACACACACAGTATGTATATAGTTTATTACATTTTTTTGTGTTTTCCATTTTCATTGTACTTAATTTTTGTTATAAATAAATGAGTTATTAGTTTTTATCAGTTTATTAATTCTTATTTATTTTCCACAGTTTTTATTATTTTTTATTTCAGCTTTAGTTTTAGTTATTTTAGTATATCAAGTTAAACTAAATGAAAATGAGAAATGCTGCTTTGGCAACTAGCTGAAAACAAAGTTTGAGTTTCTTATTTTATTTTATTTCAGTTAATATTTATTAAGTAACATGTTTTTTATTTATACTGTCAAATATTTTTAGAATTTGAAATAACAGTGTTCTATTTGAATATAATTTATGATGTAATTTATTCCTGTGATCAAAGCTGAATTTTCAGCATCATTACTCCAGTCTTCAGAAATCATTCTAATATGCTGAGATTTGATATTTTGTGAAAAAAAGGTAATTTTCTTGAGGATTCTATGATGAACCGAAAATTCAAAAGAACAGCATTTATTTAGAAATGTAAATATTTTGTAACATTATACATGTCTTTACTTTTACTTTCACTTTTGATCAATTTAATGCACCATTGCTGAGTAAAAGTATTAACTTCTTTCTCTGTTAACATCCATTTTGTTTACATCTTGTGGCTATACTATTAAAACACTGAATGTTTCAATGTTTACAAACTAGCTTCATTCACATCCATTGCAAGAGCCTCACCATGATCCAGATTTCTGCCTTTTTTAAAGAAAAAGAGGGACAAGTGGAATCATTTTTAAGGTTATCAACATCAAGCCACAAAAACTGTCGTCTGAGTTAAACTTGTACTGAACCCAGAATATTTCTTTATCATTCACCTTTCTAATACATCATGAATGATCAGTGATAGTGTAAAAGATTTACATAAAAACACAATATTTCAAGAATCAGACAGTCATAACTGCTAATTATCACAAATGAAAGACATGATAGAAGAGGAGGAGACTGAGATAAGAAACAAATGAAAGGCATTGAAAGAACGAGATAAGACAGAACGCGAGCTTGTGAAAGATTAGAGACAGACAGACGCTCAACACACATTTAAATTCTACTCACTTTCGGTGGGAGCGGAAGGAGACGCGGCCGCTAATAGTTGCTTTTGTTCCTCGAATTTAATAATAAGGCCGAAAATGATAACCTGTTTATCATTAATTGTGCATTTTCTGGGCCACTGAATTCTGAGTGGCAGTGATGAGGGACAAATTGTGTGGAGGTGAGGAACAATTATGAAAACCACAAGTCGCCTGAACTATAAAAGCATTAGAAAGTACAGAGGAAAAACTGTCAGTCTACATGAAAGCGGTTCGGTGGCTTTCAAGTGCGCTCTGCACATTTAATAACTGAATGCAATATTGAAAATGCTATTGGTATTTCATTTGTAAGCAAATATTCTAATTATCTGCTTTATAAAGCCATTCCACAATCACATTCAGCATAGAATCATGATTGACTAATTTTCTCTTGAGGATAATTTGGGTAATTTTGCTTAAAAAATACTAACAAGGTAAAACACAAACAAGCTTTTTCTTTCAACAACAACTTTTGGGTGGTTGCTAGGATGCTCTGGGCAGTTGCTAGGCAGTTAATGGAATGTTCTGGGTGTTTGCTAGGCTTTTCTGGGTGGATGCTAGGATAGTTCACACAATAAAGAAAATTCTGTTATTAATTATTCACCCTCGTGTCGTGTCAGAACGCTGGCTCCTGCGTGAGCAGCATTACACACATGCGTTGTGGTACTCTTGTGAACGCACATCGAAGAATACATGGAAGAGAAGAATTGTTGTATAAAGTTATTTTTATTTTCGTCGCGCACAAAATTAAGGTTGAATCACTGATGTCACATGGGCTATTTTAATGATGTGCTTACTACCTTTTTGGGTCTTGAACGTGTCAGTTGCGTTGCTGTCTATGCAGGGTCAGAAAGCTCTCGGATTTCATAAAATATATCTTAATTTGTATTGCAAAAATTAACGAAGGTCTTACTGGTTTGGAACGACATGAGGGTGAGTAATTAATGACAGAATTTTCATTTTTGGGTGAACTAACCCTCAGGCCATCCAAGATTAAGGTGACCTTTTTCATTAGAAGAACAGTAAAGAGGATTTTTAGCTGTAACCGTGGTCCTTGGTCATTCATAAAATGCAAAGTCAGCAGCTGCTGGTTTTGAAGAATAAATAAAAGCATTAATAAAAGCAGAGTACCTGTAATCCAGAGCCTCAAGCAAATGAAAATTTGATTCTCTTCCACAAACTGGTACTTTTGGACAGTTCATTTCTGGATCAAATAACTGATTCTCCAGTTCGTTTTGGTAATCAAACAATGATGTAATGTATACACAATTATATTATTAAAGCGCCCAATACTGATGTGAAACAGGGATGTTTTACATGTCTAAAGCACATAAAGTGAATAAACTAGTCTTTAACAGCTCACCTTTTTACACAAACAAAGAGAAACCATAAAAACGTTCATTTTGGCCCTTTATTCAAGTGCTGGGTTCACACATGAGCATATTAGCGTCTCATCGGTCTTTGGTCCGAGTCTGATCTGTTTCCTCAGTTCACTGACTGTTGGAGGAACTGGAGTTCAACCGGTTCATTAAAACAGAATGATTTGTTCGTGAACCTAACATCACTCTGGACTGCTTGCCTGAGGCTCTGGATTACAGGTTATAATGTTGCAAATAATATTCAGTTTCTTGCACAGACCGATCATTTCGCTTCATAAGTCCTCAATATATCATCAGGAGCCATGGATATTAATTTTATGTGTCTTTACATGCTTTTTTATTCTCAAAAACCAACCACTTGCATTTTATGAATCACCAAGGACCACGGTTTCAGCTAAAAATATGCGGTAACACTTTATTTTAAGGTGTCCTTGTTACATGTTACATGTACTTACAGTGGGGCAAATAAGTATTTGATACACTGCCGATTTTTCAAGTTTTCCCACTTACATTGGAGGAACTGGAGCGCTGAATGAGTCGGCAAAAATCAGCATCATAGGATCATATACGACAGTATTTCGGCTCATTTCGAGTCGGAGTGACTGTAAGGCTTCCGAAAGTGAGTTTTGATTGATCTGTGCTGCTCGAGCCACGAACTGTTTTAGATGGTTCAGTTTGGTGAACTGGTTCAACCAGGGGCGCTGCTAGCAATTTTGGGCCCTATGAAAGAATATGAGGTTGGGCCCCCTACCGCACCAAGCATACACTATATTGCCCAAAAGGACACCTTAAAATAAAGCGTAACCAAATCTGCTTTACTGTTCTACTGAAGGAAAAAAGTCACCTACATCTTGGATGGCCTGAGGGTGAGTAAACAAACAGTAAATTAAATTTTTTGGGTGAACTGTCCCTTTAAGTACAGTGCACCATTGTAACAAACACACGGTCTACAGATTGAAACAGCTCGTTTTACCTGCTTGGTTGCAGCGTCAGAGAGATTCCTCAGGGTCCACAGGCAGTTCTGTGTCAGACGCTGACTCGAACCTGAGAGATGTTGGCCGAGAGCCTGCATACCCCCTGCCAAATGGAGAGAAAAAGGCTTAGAGTCCATATTTATCAGACTTAGCCACAAAAAAAAAAGAAGAAAGGACAAAACTATCCAGCTACACAACCTGCTCTAAAAAGAAGAAGGCTGTATTTCTCCATGGATTAGCCATTGTCTGCCAAAGGGAGAGAAATGTCTTTTGGAGTCTGTGCAGAAAAACTAAAAGCCACATGGCTTAGGAAGATAAAAAGAGGGAAGGAGATTAGGAGACATCCTTGAAAACTGCCTCTCATCCAGTGTTGTAACTACCTGATCCTCAGCGCTTTCTCAAGACGAGCGTCGAAACCTCATATGGGAAGACGCCATAACTGTGAAGACTTTTATGAGATTAGCTCTGGCAGGCATGATAGAGTGAGATATTTTAGTCCTGCAACCTTTGTCGTTGTATATCTAAGTATTAATTCACTGAAAGGTCAGCGTTAATAAAGTAACATCCATACAGCGACGGCATGACTGCCGTGAAGCGGTCCTGACAGGCAGGTTTGATAAAGGTGGGTTTTTACATTAACTGCACCTGTAAAATTAGTTTTCATGGAAAATCTACTTGAGATGAGTTCAATGGCTAAATCATGTATTGTTGGGGCTCTAATATAGCGGTTTAACACACATGCTGCTGATATGTCGAGTCATGGTGTTCATGATGTAGATTCAATTTTGACTTGTAATGTGTCCCAATCCCATTTCCCTTCTCTCCTCCAAAACATTTCTTTCACGGTCATAAAAACCTGAAAATATTAGTCACGGAACAGTGATAAAAAGAAAAGTTACAGCGATTTTCTAGTGATTTCTGGTCATGCTACGCAAAGAAGCTCAGAAAGCTGAATCATCCATCTATTTGCATTCAAATCTCTGTAAAATTAGTTTTCATGGAAAATCTACTTGAGATGAGTTCAATGGCTAAATCATGTATTGTTGGGACTCTAATATAGCGGTTTAACACACATGCTGCTGATATGTCGAGTCATGGTGTTCATGATGTAGATTAAATTTTGGCTTGTAATGTGTCCCAATCCCATTTCCCTTCTCTCCTCCAAAACATTTCTTTCACGGTCATAAAAACCTGAAAATATTAGTCACGGAACAGTGATAAAAAGAAAAGTTACAGCGATTTTCTAGTGATTTCTGGTCATGCTACGCAAAGAAGCTCAGAAAGCTGAATCATCCATCTATTTGCATTCAAATCTCAAGGTTTTTTCAAAACTATGGGGTTAGTTTTTTTTTTTTCAAATAATGCTTTTATTCAGCAAGATCAAAAGTGTCATTAAAGACATTTAGAATGTTACAAAAGATCACATTAGAATGATTTCTGAATCAGGATCATGTGACACTGAAGACTGGAGTGATGATGCTGAAAATTCAGCTTTGTGTCACAGGAATGAATTACATTTAAAAAATATATTCAAAACGGTTTAAATTGTAAAAAATATTTAAGAACGATACTGCTCTTAAATGTGTTTTTTTGCTCAAAATAAATGCAGCCTTGGTGAGCTTAAGAGACTTCTTTCAAAAACATCTTACCAACCCCAAAGTGTATAATGGTTCAAATCTTTTTTTTTATAGAATTGTTACATGACAAACAAATGGAAATCATCCATAGCAATCTCAGAAATACTTCATAATGTAATAATCATGACTGACTGTAAAAGTCACGCAAATTCATTCATCAAAAGTGGGGAAAAATACGCAAAAAGCCCCCAACATCCTCAGACAAAGAACCCAGACAAAATGAGAAGGAGATTGCGATATTAAAGGGAAATTATACAAAAACGCCCAAGAGAACAGTACTTGGGAATGAAAGAAAAGAGATAAGAATATTCCTCTAGGGTCTAAGAATAAAAAAAGGGGAAAAGAGCATTAAAAGAAGAATGTAACGCACACATTCACTCACCAGCGTCAACAATAGCTGGTTTGTTGCTTGGACAGACAGACAGCACCTTCAGGACTCTGCTGGTGGTCCACAGGAGCTTCTCATAGTTGTAGTTTCTCATAATGAACACCAAACCTTCTGGCCCACCATTTGCCAGGATGATCAACTGTGAAAAGAGAAAAAGCACAGAGATTAAGGCTAAACTATTTTATATGCAAGCACTCTGTAAGTCTCTAAGGCTAGTGATGAAATGACACCTTGCTCTCCTGATTGCCGTAAGACAGCAGCTGCAGGCAGTCTGTGGTGATGGCCAGGAACTTGGGGTTGGTTTTTTTCAGAAGAGGGACCATCCGTTGCAGTCCATCAGCCAGACGCACCGCCATCTTGGCTCCCTCCTGGTGCAGTAACAGGTTGTGTAACGTGGTAATGGCGTAGAACATCACTGACTCCATAGGGGAACTGAAGAAAGAGTATTTATAACATTTTCTAAATTATACAGATTTTAACACCCAGAACCACCACATATGATGATCTCTGTGTGAGAGACACAATTTCTAAAATATAAGCTTTCATTAGCTTTCATATCATATGTTGCTGAAAAAATTTTTTGCTAAAAAAAAAAAAAATGAGAAAGGCAAAAACGGTTGAATGATACAACACATACAATTCTTGAAAACATGGAAGGAACAAAAGATGAAAATGATTAATAATACATAATACACGTATACTTCTTATTTTTCATTTTCGCCGCGCCATACTCAGCTCACCCTCAGCCGCGGTGCAGGGGGCGGAGCTCCTCTCTGTGCTCACACTGTCCGCGGCTTTCTCCCTTGTGGTGGGCATTGTCGCCGGCTCTCGCACCTGGTCTGATGGGTTCGGCTCTATCTTCGGGGCGATCCTCCGCTCAGTCGCTCGGCATTGCGCTGGCTCGTTGATCGCGGCGGGATTAGGCTCTCCGTCATCGGTGGGCTCGGGCTGATGCTCCGCACCACGGGGAGATGGTGGGCTGGGCACTGGGTCTGGAGTGGATCTGACGAGAACATCCACGGAAAAAAATGAGAAAGGCAAAAACGGTTGAATGATACAACACATACAATTCTTGAAAACATGGAAGGAACAAAAGATGAAAATGATTAATAATACATAATACACATATACTTCTTATTTTTCATTTTTACTAAATATTTCTTATTTAAATAAATAAAATATCAAAATTATTATATTACAGAGAAAAGAATAGATTTCACATTGAGGGGAAGGAGAGATGAACATTATTAATAATACAATTATGCTGATTATTATTATTATTTATTATTATTATTATTATTATTATTAACTATTAAAAATAAATAAAAATGGTTTATTATTTAAAATAAAATATCTAAATTAAACATTGTTATTAAAGATATTATTATAGATTATATAATAAAACACAAATGAACAATTTTCATTTATGATTTATGCCATTTATGACAATTATGATTATTGTTAATGATTAAATATGATATAAAAGAAATAAAATACTATTTATTTATTCAAATAAATAATAACTATATTGCTATATTGTCAAGTCACGCTGTTGAGGGAACACGCTGGAGTCACGAGGAAACGTTTAACAGACTTTAATAATGAAACGCAGGAGATAATCCACAATAGGAGCTTGAGCCAACACACGGAGAGAACGAGTAGACCTGACAAACACAAACTGAACAGACTAGGACTTTAAACACAGGGCAATCAGGGGAACACAGGTGACATCAATGGAACATAATCAAATTAGACGAAGACAGGAACATGACCAAATAAAGAAACACAGGAAGGACTACGGGGGCAAAACAGGTCCAAAAGTCTGACATTTCGC